TGTTTAGAGTGTGAAATAAAAATCTCATTCAGGAGAGGAGTGTTTGAGCAGAAACTCTTGATGTGCAGAAACGTGTCAAATCGCCTAAATGTTTAGCATTTGAATGTACATTTATTTCAGTACCCAAAATAAATGAATACTCTGGCCAGTGGAATGAATGAATGTCCAAACACTTGATGCGCCTTAATGCGTTTGAAAAATGTGGCTTTTGGAGGGTTTTTTCAAGCTGCTTTTCTCTTGCCAGGAGAAAAGACATGTAGAGGAGCTGGGCAGTGTGCATGAGGTCTAAAAGAGCATTGCATGGAACAGTTGTGAGCCAATCTAGTCAACAGGACATTACATTTCTGTAGGTGACCTGTTCAACAAATGGGCGAAGAATTTGTTTTGAAAACTTTCGAGCTTTAGAACATTTTGGCCGCGTGTTGAACTAGAAAGATTTTTTTTTTTTTTTTTTAAAGGGGTATGTGATCCAAAACTTTTTCTAGTTTTATAGTGGGGAAGAGTTCGGACCTGCTGTGAGGTTTTTATTTTCTCTATCTGTTGGGGAAATATAAGCTTTGCTATTTGTCCTATGCACTATTGTCATCAAAAGGAGGAGGAATACAACGTTTTCTGGTTGTTCTGATGGCAATGGGTAGGTGGGGTTTTCGTTCAGTTTGGGGAAGTTTCCACCTACTTGTGGTACATGACAGTAAAAGGTGACCGAGATTTTGATTCAAGTTTTTCCAAAACTACAAATGGTGTGTTTTAGAGCTGCACTTTAAAATATGACAATTTTCATTTTAAAGATTGTAAATATATTTAAGGTGCAGAAAAATGGTAAGTGTTCAAAGTTTTACCTTTTTGGTTTGTTTGTAGAGCAACCCTAGTAGCATTAGGATCCCTACATATTCCCATTGAGGGGACACTTTTTTTTTTTTTTCTGAACGTGGTCCATTTAAAGTGGAATTAGGGTGCATTCACGCAGGCGGCTGCAGTTTTGCTGCCCTGCAATCGCCACAAAAGGAATGAAGCCGCTCAGGCATGCTGCATTTGGCAGGCAATACTGCCATTGAACACAACCTATGGAAGTGAATGGGGATTTGCTGCAACTGCCCTGCAACCAAGTACAATACATGCAGATGCAACATGGTGCTTCAGCATCTTGAGGGTAAAGCAGGGAGTGAAGAGGGCATATTGCTCCCTTGTAACCTGTCAAATCGCCTCTGAAAAGCAGTCCAACACAGAACACTTTTCAGAGGGACATCAGTATATCCACACCTATGAATGAGCCCATATGAACTGAAAGGATAAGTTCACCTTTTATGAAGAAAAAAAAAAAAAATTAACACATGCACATCTTTTTGCAGGGAAAAAAAATATACATTTCATTTTGTTTTATTATTTTTTTTACTAGCAGCCCGCAAAGCATTGCACCAGCGATCAGCAGATCATGTGTGTAATGCAGGGTTCCTGCAAAGTAATCCTTTAATCTGTTTGCTCATACCTTGCAAAGGCAGGCATTTACACAATGACGGCAAACTGCGCAAAGTAAAAGAAATTTAGCCGTTTCATGTTTCGTTGTTTTAATTTCTTATTTTCAACTGTTTTTAAACATTTCGAAGTTGCACTTTTTTGTTGAGGGGGGCAAGTAGCCTGTCTTGCCTAGGGCGCAGAATAGTCTAGCACTGGCCCTGTGTTCAGGGTTGGCAAGTCAAAATGCAAAAACAAATTGGATCAGGATTTTAATCGGAGAAGTAACCTAGAGGCAGAGGTTCACGGGGCTCAGTTGTCACTCGGACCTCTCAATGAAAGATATATGATCTGTAAATCGGTAATGAGCTGCAAATCACTGGACATCCTCTCATTTATGATATACATTAAAATGACCATGTTCTGGTATATTGAACATAAAAGCATTTTATTGTTCCTCTTTCAGCTCTTTGATTGCATCAAAAAGTAGCCATATTGTTCAATACTCCACCCAAGATGTGGATACCAGCACAGAGGAATCCTTGTTTTCTGGAGGTAATTTCTCATTTTAGTTATGTCTTATTGCTAACCCGAACACTGAGGAATTGTGAGAAGGATTGCAGTTTTATAGTGTTGTATTGGGAGTTCAATTGGCTTATAAAGGGATGTGAAATTGTTACCTTATATTGTAGAATAGTTTCATCAGTGATTAAGCAGTTATCTTTGACTGTTAAAGGCATTAATTGCCTCATAACTGTGTTTTATAGCTTTACTTCATGCAATGCATTTTAAGTAATGTAGACAGAGACTTTATGCAGTATGTTGGTTTTCTGTGTCAAGAAAGTAGCATCATGCAGTTTTAAAGTTAACTTAATTTCATGGGGGGGGGGAAGCTGCACAGCATGTTGGCACAATTATGGCACACTACCTCTCGGCATGCTCTGTCACTGCCACCATCTTTCATGCGGTTTTTTTCAAGTCCGATCTTCCTACTTCTTCAGCCCTTGGACAGCTGCCAGTGATGTAACATGTACACAAGACTTTATGGTCCTTGGCTCTATTTTTGTCATGCCGTGAAAATTAAAATTGCTGTTTGAGGGGTTTTTTTTTTTTTTGGTTTTTTTTTTTTTTGCAAAACAGACTCGTCTGCCAAAAATGAACTGCTTGCATTAGGCAGCACAGTGATTCAATGATTAGCACTTATGCCTTGTAGGAATGGGGACTTCGGGGTTTGCATGCCAACCAGGGCACTGTCTGCATGAAGTTTGCATGTTCTCCCCTGTGCTTTAATGAGTTTCCTCTGGTAATCCTGTTTCCTCCCACATTTCAAAGACAAGGGTATTGGTCTCCTGTCTAAATTAGCCCTAGTACAACCCCATTTCCAAAAAAGTTGGGACAGTGTGTGAAATCTACATATAAACAGAATGCAATTATTTTCAAATCTCCTGAACCTGTATTTTATGCACAATAAAAAATGGAATGCTGCAAAGGCATTGAGGGGAGTGTACACATTCTGCGATGCATTTATGAGATTTACAAATCATTGCATTCTGTTTTTATGTAGATTTTACACAGCATCACTTGTTTATACTGTCATACAGGAACCTGTACGTAACACAACATGAATCAGTTAAATTCCATTCTTGCCTTATCGAGAAAAGAAGCTGGCTGTTCTGTGCCAGATTCAGCACTAAACTCACCTGATATCTACTTAAGAACAAGTGGTGGCAGATTCATGGTAGGAAAACCAATAAAATGGCTCTTTTGATGAAAGGCTCCTTCACCTCAACATACTAAAGGGAAACACACTTGTGTTGTCCTGTAACACGTTAACGCATTTGTGGTGTGCTTCTTCTGGAAAAATAGTGCTAATGTGTTTTCTGGTCAAGTGTGATGTGTTGGCCACGCCATTTAAATGCATTTATCAGATGCTCATTTTAATTTTTGATACAGGATGGTCTCAGTGCTGACATTTTTCCACATAGTTAAATATATTGTTGAAATGCTCATCGGTAAACCATTTACCCGCCAGACTTTTAGGTGAGGACAATGACACTTGAGTAGAGCATCAGTGCCTCCCTGCCTTGAGCCTGGTGGTTCTTCAGGGATTAAAGGATAACCTTAAGGTCCCTTTCACACTGATGGGCCGATCGGGTCCTCCTGTCAGTTTTTCAGGCAGACCTGATCGGGCCATCCATAGACCTCTATGGACTGGCGAGTGTCAGCGGACAAGTGTTCGCTGACACCTGCCGGCATCTGATTCTGTACATCAAAAACAGATGGGGTTTTGTTCCTCCTTCGCTTGGCGGATCAAAGGACAGTCGGGTGGAAACGGACAGACTATCCGTTTTCATCCGACCGCCCCATGGGAAAAAGCAGGCTATGTCTGTGTTTGCTGTGTAGCAGCAGAGCGGACAGAGACCTGTCATCCGCTTGCTCAGCGGGGATCAGAGGAGAGATCCATCCCTGAGCAAACGGATCCACTGGCGGGTGCGCACCGCCTGAAAGGGGCCTTAGACAGATTTGAAGGGTTTGTACTGTATTTCTAAACATGTTGCACAGTTTTGTCAGCTACAAGCTTTACGTGAAATGGGTTGTGTTTCACCATGTGAAAAAGGAACACAAGGGGGGCGCCAACTAAGTGCAGTATTAAAATGCGAGTTTATTAAAAAGCCAATAGGCAACTCACATGTAAAAGGAGAAAAGCAGGCATGTCTGATGCTGGGCACAAGTCAGGTTCTCGGACTGGACTGATGTTTCTGCTTCTCACCAAGCTCAAAGACAATGGTGGATCACGATCAGAAGTAGCAGGACCAGAGTGGAAAATGCGCAAATAGAAAGATCTTCACCAAGAAGCCACAGGAAGGGGCGTAGTTTTGTGTTTCAAAGCTTCCACTTCTTTATCAAAGAGGTTTGAAAAAGAAGGTGAAGCTTTGAAACGTGTAACCACACTCCTTCCTGCGACTCCTTGATGACGACACTTGCTACTACTGGTCGCGATCCCCCATGGTCTTTGCTTTCCAACCTTCAATACTGCTCCCAGAGCTTTCATGCAAGCTGAACTTCCTAGTTCCTTTCTTTGTAGTGCATGCTCCTTTTTTCTTAATGAGTTTGCTCATCGGCCAGAGACAAGGTAATGTTGTATTCAATTTGGCAGCAAGCACACAAAGCTGTAATATCCATTCTGTATGGAGCAGACTATAGCAGTATAATGTCATCCCTTTTTTTGCATTATGTGATCATATGCTAAGCGACCATCAGGACATGCTTTTACATTATTCCTTTAATGCAAGTACTATCTTTTATGTTTGTTAAAATGATGTATTTCATCCTTTATTTATGCTGCAGGTGAAGAAACCCGAAGCATTGTTGGGGAGAGTGAAAAAAGTGACAGAACATGGTGTTCTGGAAGATCCTGGGAAAGTGCTCTCTGGTCTGAGGTCAAACATAACATTACGGATCACTTATATTATAGCACAGTATTTCCAGACAGCCTACCTCGAAAGTTTGACTACAACCACAGGGAGTTCCTCATGCAGCAGTGCAATCTCCATCCAGCTAAACTTGTGAAGCCAATGTGTACCTCAAAACTGAATATTCAAGATTTCCCAAGTGCCAGTGGACCTGGCCATTATGAAGTCACCATACTGGGTAAAGTGTAGACTCTAAAATACATTGTGTAAAAAAAAAAAAAAAAAAAAAAAGGTAATTTTCTCATTCTCAGCAAATAAGCAGTTTATGCACTTTTGCCTTGCTCTGGCATAAACTCTATTGTAGAACCACTGACATGCATCACATATTTGTCTTCATTATTCAATATTTGAATACATTTTTTAGTTTTCTGAGCTGCAGATCAGAAATGTCAGAACGTATTATCTATACACTTGTTTTGGGTCAGTGACTCAGTATTGCACCCAATGGGTCAGCATGACAAGCCAGGCAGATAGTATTTGCAGAAAATTAAGTCTATGAATGCAGCTCCCATGTTTCTCTTGACAAAGGTTTCCTTTATGGTCATTCTGTCATGAGAGAAGCAGTGCCATTACTGGCCTCCTTCAGAAGATACTCCATGCCTGGCTGATTGTACTTCACTATGTTTGTCAGTCTTGGAATACGTGTGTTCTGAATATGAAAAAAGTGTCAAGGGTGTTTCTCTCTAATAATTCTGGGACTGCAATTCCACATTGAATTCAAAGCATCTGCCAGCCAGCCAGTGAACTAGCATTCTTGTAAGAGTTTAGTGATGGCATCCTCCATTGATCTCTCATGGCAGTATCCCTTTGAATCTTAATCTGTTAAAAATAAAAGGACTGCATTGAATCATGGTTTCCCAGTATAACACTATGGGGTGCTTTTTATTAACCACAAAATAGGGGAAAAAAAGAGTAACGGGTAATCTAGGGTGACCCATCGGTAATGGATAAAACTATAAACATATAAGGTACCAAAGTTAATTTACAAAACTAGCATAAAATATTTTATGCTAATTTTGTAAATACACTTGGTATTTTATATGATTGTAGTTTTTATATTTGTAGATTTTATCTAATACCAATGAGTCACTGTAGATCACCCCGCTACTTTTTTTCCTATTTTGTATTCCATTTTCGGTTGGTGACCTACTGGGAAACTCTGATCCTTTCCACATATACATGTAATTTCAGTACATTTATTAACCACCTCCAGTCTGGGGCAATACTGACATTTCTCACAGACATGTAAAAATAAGCATTTTTTTGCTAGTATATTACGTAGAACCCCCAAACATTAATATTATATATATATATATATATATATATATATGTATGTATGTATATATGATAGTATTCATGTTTCAGGGTTCTAAGTAATGTTCTAGCACAAAAATGCTTATTTTTATACAGTTTGGTTCAAAATAATAGCCGTCCGACATCACTAACCTGATCAATCACTGTTTTTGGTAGAAAGGATATTTCTACATGGCAAATAATTTACTAGCAGGTATAGTAGAGTAATAGAAATCCAACAGACCCAACAGTCATGACATGCATGCTGCTGATTCTGTGTAATTGAATCACTAATTGAAAGGGGCGTGTTCAAAATATTAGCAGTGTGGAGTTCTATTAGTGAGGTCATTCATTCTTTGAAAAACAGGTGGCAATTATTGCCCTTATTTAAGGAAGGAAGGCAGCAAATGTTGTACATGCTGCTTACAGTGCATTTCTCTCTGGAATTCTGAGGAAAATGGGTCGTTCCAGACATTGTTCTGAAGAACAGCGTACCTTGATTAAAAAGTTGATTGGAGAGGGGAAAACATATAAAGAAGTGCAGAAAATGATAGGCTGCTCAGCTAAAATGATCGCAAATGCTTTAAAATGGCAACCAAAACCTGAAAGACGTGGAAGAAAGCGAAAAACTACCATTCGAATGGATAGAAGAACAGCCAAAATGGCAAGGACTCAGCCAACAATCAGCTCCAGGAAGATCAAAGAAGGTCTAAAGTTCCCTGTGAGTACTGTTACAATTAGAAGACACCTATGTGAAGCCAAGCTATCTGCAAGAAGCCCCCGCAAAGTCCCACTGTCAAATTTGCCAAAGAGCACATTGACTGGCCTAAAGAGAAATGGCGCAACATTTTGTGGACTGATGAAAGTAAGATTGTTCTTTTTGGGTTTAGTGACCGGAGACAGTTTGTCATGCCCTTGAAATGGGTGTTCCAACAAGACAATGACCCCAAACACACCAGTAAACGTGCAACATCTTGGTTCCAGACCAACAAGATTGACGTTATAGAGTGGCCAGCCCAATCCCCGGATCTTAAATCCAATAGAAAACTTGTGGGGTGACACCAAAAATGCAGTTTCTGAGGCAAAACCAAGAAATAGAAAAGAACTGTGGAATGTAGTCCAATCATCCTGGGCTGGAATACCTGTTCACAGGTGCCAGAAGTTGGTTGACTCCATGCAACACAGGTGTACAGCAGTTCTCAGAAACAGTGCTTATACAACGAAATATTCATTAAGTGATTCAAAGGAAAGCAAAATCTTCAAACATTTTTCAGTTTATATAGTGAATGTTTGAGTTTGTAAAGAATACAAACACTGCTATTTTTTTTTTTTGAATAGTCTAATATTCACTTTTCTTCAATTTGTTTAGAGGAACAACACAAATTTGATATATTTTTCTTCGTTTTGATTTGGAATAGAATGTGTAGTGTTCCCAATGCATTTGCGTGTATGGAAATAAAAGCTATTAGAAGGATTTTGAGCTTTATTCACTTTTTTCAACACACTGCTATTATTTTGAACACAACTGTTTGTCTGAGAGAGATGTCAGTAGCGGCCCAGACATATTGACAAGTAACATGCTGAAAAAATGTCATTTCACAATGGATATTAATAGTTTGTGATGTGAATATTACGTAGAACCAAAAACAAAGTTTAAAAAAAAAGGAGGACATTTTTTTTTATTTTGTGGGTTTTTGAAGGAATAGGCTCTGAAGATTAAAACCTATAACCTGAAAAACTCTGTCAACTACAGGGGAATATCATGTCAAAAAGTAATCTGGAAGAGAAGTAAGCTGATTGAGTGTCCGAAAAGACTATTGTGTTCATGGCATCAGAGGAGTAATAGTATCAGTCTCCCTTGTTAAGAACTCTTCCGTCAGCATATGCTCACAATACCCTATACCACTTACAGCACCGCTCTATGATTAAGCCCCTGATAGGCGAGGGTGAAATGCTCAGGAGAAGCTCAAGACTGAGGCCATCCTTATTTCTCTTTACTTGTTAATGGTGTGCAGTGTCTGTCATCCCCTTATTCTTCCATTAGCATAGTTTCATTGAGAAGGTCAACCCAGAGGGCAGTAGAGGGGGTGGAAGGAGATTTCAAGAAAGTGGAGATCAGTTGACGGCAGCTGAGAGGAAATATCTCCGCAAGCTGGATTTCGGGGATTTGTATGATCCTGGTAAAGTAGAAAGTAAGGCAATATCCGATGCAGAAACTAGAGAGACAATATAGATCTCATTACAAATTATGATAATTTTATGCCAAAAGGGAAATATTTTGCGGCGTACAGACATGTTCCCCTGGCTTTTTGCATCTCCAGCAAGTGTCAGGAATCATATTAAATATTCAGTGTGATGAGCCCAGGTCCCTGTACCACCTGGAGATTAGTTTGTAGTATTTTTTTTTATTTTGTTTAGGTTTCTTGTCCTGACAATAGCAGGACATAGACAATTATATGTTTACATAAAGGCACTATGCCAGTCTTAGGGAGAGATCTCCTGTCCCAGATCTCTGGACTACTTCTAGTAAATGTAAGTAAGGTTCTAGGAGATGTAGTTTGAATGGGCTTGTATACTGTGGAAAGTGTGTTGATGAAGTGCACAACTTTTCAAGCTTTGTGAGGGATCTGTGTATAAGTCCTGTAAAGTAGAGAGATTTGCAGTAGGAGGAAAGTAGGAATCTCAAGAGCCTGATGTGTCTGATGCCTGGAGGACAAAAAAGCTAGAAGAGGAGTTAACAAAAGAATTGGGCGTAGGCCATTCATTTTTGGAATATCAACCAAAAGAGGACATATTGGAGCTTATTTGGGAGATTTGGATTGTCAGAGTGGGTTTAAAGGTCTTGGTTCTGTTGATAGCAACAAATTATAATTTAGACACCAAGTGCATTGTCTATTTATTCAGGGGGCCTACCAAGAGAAAGATGTATTGGAGAGTGATCAGACCATAATTTAAGGCCATTTAACGAGTTAGGACTGGAAATAGGAAAATGATCTATCCTACTCTTAATTGTTGTGGGAGACCAAGTAGTAGCTGTAATCTCTCTCAAAAGCATGCAAAATTCGCCACACATCCATTAGATGTAGTTTGTGGAGAGTATTACAAATTTTAGTCAGGAGAGATAGAGAGAGGTGACTTGCCTCTCAATGTATCCAGATGAGGAACCAGAGAAACATTGAGGTCACCTCCCTGGAAAAGATTGTCATTGCTGAAGGTTTCGAAGCCGGAAATGTAGCTGCTCCTGGTTGGGTGAGTATATATTAGCCAGGGTAAAAGCAAAATTTAAATATTTCAGTTTAAAAAAGCTAAAATAACCATTTGAATCTATAATGGCATGCAGTACTTCTGGTGCAGCTCTTAGCCAGCAAAATGTTGCAGTGAAACAATGGATAAACAATCAGAAAAAATCATGGGCGATAACCACTGCTTCAGAAGAGTTCCATAACATAAGGTGATGCTTTCATCTAGTAGGAGATTTGTGAGCAGGAGGACGGGGCCTTTTTTTCAGTGACGGTTGTGACTAGCTGGATGCTAGGGGAAGGACTAGTGTAGCCTTAAGAGGCCAATCTGGAAGGGAGATTTAAGGCGGTTCAAAAATCCCAAGGAATGCAGACAGCTCTCCCAGGGTATGAAAAATATCCAATTTGCCCTCAATAAATGTTCTAAGGTAAAATTGGAAGGGGAAACCCCATTTGTATTTAATTCTCTCTATTTAAAGAGATATGTACATTTTTTAGTGGACATATTTTTAAGGCACTCATAGTAATATATTTCATTAATCATGACTTAAAGATTAAATACAAATACAAGCCATGCAGTGGGAAAGTATTGTACTGTGAGTGACTTGCTTGATTTATTATCACACAATGATGTACATGATAAAATGTGTATCTCTTTAAACAGGGCAAGTATAGTGCTTCCATCTCTTACAGTATATGCAAAGATATTTGTATGTATGTTTATTGGTGTACTCATTTGTCATATCTGTATCCAATTTCAAAATTGAAAGAGAGCAGAGAATCTCTTCTGTGCAATGATAAATGGATGTCTTTGTGTTGTCTTAACAGGTATAAATCATGATCTAGCAATAGATGTGTCTTTGCCTGTATATAAGGACTTCAGGCTGTTTGGCCCAAATTGTCTTCCTAATCATATGCAGTGCCTCAATCTAGATTGGAATGCCGAAACCCAGGATCATCACTGGCTGTCTCTTAAAGGTATGGCAGGAAGCGTCTTTATTTTTAATTGCAGAGAAAGTGGAGTTGCTCCTATCATGCCCATAATGTCATCTCAAGGCTGTCATTGTTTGATATGAGCAGTGTCTATTTCTCACCACCTGCTTTAACCCCTTGGACCCCACAGAAGCATGCAGTTACAGGACACTTGCGGATTTTCCCCATTTACTTTAATGGGTCTCGACTGACAGGTGGTAGCACTCTCCAAAAGCAACAGGGGGTTTATTTACTGCTGCGGCATGTGTACACCTTTGGCCACTGCATCAGCAGCTAAAGGGGGGGGTAGGGGATTGGGGGCAGTAAAACTGTGATTCAACCGCAGGGCACCCCCCCAACTTTACATATGAATGAGCCCTAAAAGTGCCACTGCCAGATGCAACTGAGGGCTCATTCACAAGTGCAGCAGACAGTGCTGTTTCTCTGCAAAGCGATTCAAGTGTGTTTGACAAGTGGTGAGGAGGCGATATGTTGCCTCCTCACCACCTGATTTAAACCCATGATTTCCGTGTCATGCACGCGATTGTGACAAGGTAGTACATCAATTAGAGGTTTAAATCAGGTGTGAGGAGGTGGCACTGGGCAACACTGTGCCTGGTGATCTTTGACTTCTACCATGTTGTTCAGGTAGATCTCCACCTCTTTAAGATAACCTACCCCTGGTATAATGGTTTTGTACATATTTTTCTTTTTATTTGAAATATTTTCAATTATTATGCAGCAAACAGATGGAGCTCTAGTTGGCACTATATCATCATTTTCTAGTTGCATAGTATAGGGCACAGGCTGTTTAATCATTATGACTTGGTTATATACCAGTACCATTGGACACTGGCAAAAACAATTACCTGCAGGGACCTCCCCCTATATAGTCCACCCCACCCCTCAGCTAGCTTTAGTTTTTTGCTAATGTCTTTGGGTAATGGACCTTTTCTTTCTACTGTCAGCTGCTCCATAGCAACTGAGGCTTTTCATGCAGCTTCTAGATGGAATGACTTCATGGCAGAGCTTTGGAGGGCCGTACCTGGACCCAGTTGGTTGATGATGCAGGGCCAGTCTGTAATGTTGCTTTTATGCATTGGATCCTGCATTGGGTGCTCCTTTTGGCATGTAGTGCACCACGTGGAGTTGGCGTCAGGGTACCTATCTGCAGGCAAACCACAGCCTTGGACCTGTAAAGTCTTGTCTCTGAAGACTCATGTGGGGTATGCCCATCGTACAGAAGGCAAAGCCAATATAGGGTTAATCCCTTGATAATCCTGTTCACTAGATTGTGTTGAGGGTGGAAGTCCCTTAAAAATTCAGCCTAGGCAGGCCTATAATTCCTTTGGACTCCCCTTGGGGTACATGAGAGCTGCTCGCCACTCTTCTGGTTATCGCAGCACAGGACTAGAAGTGCCAGGGTTAGTTTAAAAATGACTGCTGTTTGTAAACACTTAAGCACCTATTGCCTATGTGCATTCTCCCAGGAAGAGCACGAAACTCAGTAACCCAAATAAGGTACAGTTGCAAGAAAAAGTATGTGAACCTCTTTGGGATTACGTGGAGTTTTGCATGAATTGGGCATAAAATGTGCTCTGAACGTCATCTAAGTCACAACAATAGAAGAACACAGTCTGCTGAACATAATACTACACAAACATTAGGTGTTGCCATGGTTTAATTGAACATAACATGTAAACATTCACAGTGCAGGGAGGAAAAAGTATGTGAGGCCCTAGCTTAATGACTTCTCCCAGAGCTAATTGGAGCCAGGAGTGAGCCAACCTTGACTCGAGTCAGTGTGATGATATTGGATGTGTTGCTGACAGCTGTCCTGCCCTTAAAAACACACCTGTTTTGGGTTTACTGGTTTCAAGAGGAACTGTCTGATGTGAACCAAGCCTCGCAGAAAAGAGCTCTCAGAAGACCTACGATCAAGAATTGTTGACTTGCATGAAGCTGGAAAGGGTTACAAAAGTATCTCCAAAAGCCTTGATGTTCATGTGTCCACAGTAAGACAGACTGTCTTCAAATGGAGAAAGTTTAGCACTGTTGCTACTCTCCCTAGGAGTGGTCGTCCTGTAAAAATGACTGCAAGAGCACAGTGCAGAATGCTGCATGAGGTAAAGAAGAATCCCAGAGTGTCAGCTAAAGACCTACAGAAATCTCTGGCACATGCTAACATTTTTGTTGACACATCTACAATAAGGAAAACATTAAACAAGAATGGAGAACATGGGAGGACACCACGGAGGAAGCCATTGCTGTCCAAAAAGAATATTTCAGCACGTTTGAAGTTTGCAAAAGAGCACCTGGATGTTCCACAGCACTACTGGCAAAATATACTGTGGACAGATGAAACCAAGATTGAGTTGTTTGGGAAGAACACACAACACTATGTGTGGAGAAAAAAAGGCACAGCACACCAACATCAAAACCTCATCCCCACTGTAAAAAACATGGCGGAGGGAGCATCATGGTTTTGGGCTGCTTTGCTGCTTCAGGGCCTTGACGGATTGTTGTCATTGATGGGAAAATGAATTCCAGAGTTTATCAAGACATTTTGCAGGAAAAAGTACGACCATCTGTCCGCCAACTGAAGCTCCGCAGAGGATGGGTGATGCAACAGGACAATGACCCAAAGCATACAAGTAATTCAACAAAACAATGGCTGCAACAGCACAGAATACGCCTTCTGGAGTGGCCCAGTCAGAGTCCTGACCTCAACCCGATTGAAATGCTGTGGCATGACCTTAAGAGAGCGATTCACACCAGACATCCCAAGCATATTGCTACACTGAAACAGTTTTGTGAAGAGGAGTGGTCTAAAATTACTCCAGATCGTTGTGCAGGTCTGATCTGCAACTACAGGAAAAGTTTGGTTGAGGTTATTGCTGCCAAAGGAGGGTCAACTAGTTAAGTCCAAAGGTTCACATTCTTTTTCCTCCCTGCACTGTGAATGTTTACATGTTATGTGCAATTAAACCATGGCAACATCTAATGTTTGTGTAGTATTATGTTCAGCAGACTGTGTTCTTCTATTGTTGTGACTTAGATGACGTTCAGAGCACATTTTATGCCCCATTCATGCAAAACTCCACGTAATCCCAAAGGGGTTCACATACTTTTTCTTGCAACTGTACCTTATTTGGGTTACTGAGTTTCGTGCTCTTCCTCTTTTGCAAGTGGCGTCTGTGGTCCATTTTGCTGGCCTGTCTGCTCTCCTGTCTCTCAAAATTTATGGGCAGAATTTCTGGACTTAGAGGCCAGAGACAGCAGTGGTCACATCATGCCTTTTTGACTTTACCTCCTGAGTTGGTCTTTAATTTGGTCTTTTGAGATAGACGCCTGCCTTTTGACGATATGATAATTGAGGATGGTCCCCCTCTTTTTGAGGCGTCAGATAAGCATGACTTGCCTGTAACAGACATTTTCAAGCTCAAACATGCCATAGCTTCCCTTACTGATGTGTGCTTTTGCTTTGTGTTACAGCAGCACAATCTGCTCATCTCAGGGTATACATTTAAGATCCCTAAACATCCAAGACCTTCCTGGTCCACTTGCTGGTAGAGCCTTTCCTGCACTGGGGCTCTCCTCAATCGGAAACTTTTTACTTCTACTGAGGAATGTTTTTCCTGCGTACGTGGGCACTCCCTGTGTAGATTCTGACATTTCTTGTCTTAACAAGACCTTCTTGGCCTCCATGGTGGATAATCCTGACCTTAGACCCAGTTGATAAGAGGTTAGAGGTATTTTTATAGCTTCCTTTTCCTTGGCAAGCCCTGCCAAACAATTTGTGGTCTTGTCTGTCTGTCAGACCATTGCTGTATGGCCTGAATCTTTTTCTGTCTTTATGGATGCCTCTGCCCACAGTCAGTTAAACTATTTACCTTATGGCCTTAAGCTACTGCTTGAACAGCTTGGTAGTTAAACTTTGCAGAATCTCCACGATGAGTATTCTCTGTTCACACATACAGGATTTTCTGGCCTAAATGCGGTCCCATGCAGTAAGTGGTTACCCTTTTGAAAGCCAAGACCTATTTTGGTCCCTTCTTGGATAAATACATTTTGGAGAGCACAAGGAGTAGGAGCATGCTCTTCCCCCAGAATATTAAGGCTCACTTTCCCTACCAGTAGGTCTTTTATTCTTGAGGTTTGGATTTTCTTTAATTCCTCTTGACCTTCCAATACCCAATTGAAGATAGGAATGTAAGAAGATATGGCTCTCCAAGCTCTTCACAGTGATGGGGTGCCCCCACTTAGTGCGGGGACGCTTGTCGACCTTCTCTGCCTTCTTGTCCCAGAAATTCTCAAATACCTCAGTCTGGAGCGTCATTTCCAGGAGCTACAAACTAGAGTTTTTAATGCTGCCTTCCCCCCACTTCATGCCTGAAATCTGTTCCATTCCCTGTCATGGTGGTTGGGTCTGCTTGCTGTTGTCCAGCAACTCTTGTTTCTAGGAACTATAGTAAATCTAACCAGGAAGATTTGGGACTTTTAGCCAGTTCCTGCCCGCCCTATAGCAGAATGCCAGGCGGGACCTTTCTTGTTCCGGGAGGACGTCATAGCATGTCCTCCTGGAACACGCCTTGTGTGCAGCCATGATCTGTCACCGTCTGTGTCTTATGATACCAATGATTATAATTAATGTCAAGCAACCAGTTGAATAATATGTCTATAAGATCTATTTTTGTATGTTATGGTTTGATTTTTGTATTTGTTATAGTATTATGCAATTATGTAGGGCTGAAACAAATAATATAATCGATTAGGAAAATAGTTGTTAACTATTTTGATTGATTAATTGGTCAGCCAATTAGTTGGCTTACATACAGAATGTATTATTTATTTACATATCAGTATACACAGTGAAGCACACATACAGCTCAGTACGCCGTCCGTACATGTCAGTAAGTGCCTGTGAATGTGTAGGGAGAAGTGCCTCATGGGGCATATAGTCCTGTGTAGGAGAAGGAAGTGGTTTAAAGTGATTCTATAGGCAGAGGGTTTTTGTACCTTGCTATACAGCAACTATACTATACTTTGCAGCTTTCCATAGGGGCATACTGAAGGTAGAAGGAGCCAGAACCACAGGTGGGTAACCCCAGAAGAATTTTTTTTTTTCTCACTGTTTCACAGTATAAATTGACCCCTTAGTCGTAATTGCCTTTTGTTTTTGTACTAATAGGCTAATTTTTTCGTTTTTAAATGAGAAGTATTTCAAAAGCTTTTTTCCCCTCTACTTCTATGGATCAAAGGAGTGCAGTTCATTTTGCACCGTGACCTGTTTTTCAGCTGACAGTGCACTAAAATCCCGCTGTCGGTTGTTGTCATGGAGCCGGTCTAGGCTCTAAAAGATCCTGACCAAATGGTCGGAATCCACCCAGATGCCTGGACCAGCAGCTGGCTCAGCCTCCCAGTGAGCCACTGAAAGCCTGAGCCCAGCCGTTTACACCCGTCGCTCCAGTCTTGGCTCAGAGTGGAGGGAGAACTGCGTGATCAGCGGTGTTTGATCTCTCAGTGCAAAACCGACAGAGGTGATCTGATGCTGCATCCACCTAGATGAGTATAGTGTTTTGGGGTTTTCTTTTTTATTTGGGGGGGGGGGGGGAGGTGGGGTGCATACTTCACTTTTAACCTCCATCATAAGTGATACAACACCGTTTAGCAGATTTTCAGACAAGATTCAACCTCCTAATAGTATATATCTGCATATCTCTTCTGTTATTCTCAAGAGTGGATTGTATATTTTGTTCCCTAACTATATAGCTAGTTGTTTAAATTTACCACTGCATATAGATAATTAAGAATAAAATCTTTTAAACTTTACATACTGACTAAATTATACGCTGCGCTTTTTTCAGGTTTTTATATGTGTAATCAATTCATTGAACAATAAATAGCTAACTAATCGATTAAGAAAATATTTGTTAGTTGCAGCCTTAGATGCTGGTGAGCACAGTATTATAATTCGAATGTCTGCAGAATCAGATTATCCTTACATGCTTATTGATATTTGTGGAATAGGAAGCCAATTAGACCCCTCTAACCCCAGGGTTATCTTGAATGAGAGAATAGCAGTCAGATTGAAAAAAAAAAAAGCTGATCTCTCATTCCCTTTTTTTGGCCAAGCAATAAAAGTGCAGTCATTACTCAGTTTGTATTAAAAAACAACATAAAATGATCTCATGCCTGAGTATAATTTGGTGTCCATTCTTTGTATTTGATAGCTGTATATGTTTTATTACAGATGAACTTGTGAAGTATTCTAGTGCACAGGACAGCCTGCATACCATATGTATCCTGGACATCTGCCACCTGGAAGAAAGAAAAGTGGAAGTTTTCCTAAACAGAATTTACTATCCTGTCAGAGGGGAGTTAACATAACTGTTACATTTTTTTCTGCTGAGTTATTGTAATAAACTTCTGTTTTTTTTGTATTGTTTACATTTAGATGAAGAAATGTATTTTTTTTTTTTCTTCAAACCTGTCCTGTTTTTTTTTAATCATGAGCCATTTGATTGGTTAGGGACAGCAATGCTGTTGGCTTGAGTAGAAGCCTTAGCTAAATTCTCATGCAGTTTAAATTATCGGTACTGCTTATATTATTGTATTTTCTTTCTTAAGATGATTTTTTTCATAGTATTAATTTTAATGGGAAAGTGTAGTGCCTTTTCAATTGGCATATATTTTGAGTTTTTATTGCAGCATTTCCTCAACTAATTATTTAATTTGATTTGTACATGATTGAAACCTCCAAACTTTGTTACTGTATTAAATATAGAGATGTGTAGATTATCCACTAGTGGGGGGAGTTCTATATTTTGACTCAGATCCCACTTCAACCCCCTGCTTAACAACTGCTGAAAGGAGATGAGGTGCGTTTTCAATGAGTCTGCTTACTCGAAGACTTGCATTTTGAGGAGGTGCAATATAGAACAACCAGTGTGCAGCAATACAAAACGGGTAGCATAGTATGTAATGAGAAAGTATAGTTGCCCTGTGTACATATAATTACAAAGTATGCTTAGGGACCAAGTGTTTTAAAAATATTAACACAATTTGATAATATTGACATCCTATTTATACAGTATGCATATTTGAAAAATACATTGAAACTGCTCTGCATTCCCTTTAAAAGTTTTTTAGCATTTTAAAATATTTATTGAAATAACTATTGTGTAAATATGATTTTTCAGTGATAGCACATTCTTTTCTCTGATAACCAAAGTAGAAATGAAATATTTAAGATATTGCTGTTACAGTTAAACTGTATTTTTTAAAGAAAACTTTTAAGTGTTTTTCTGAATTCTGCACCTTATGCTTTTGTATGCAGTGCATACAAGAGAATTTTAATATATATTCTTATGTAATATTACAATGTTTTTTGCTTGCTTTTTATTTGTATTTATTTACTTTGTGGAAGTCTGTACAAGGGACCATCACTAATTGCCTATTCACTACGAAGTTGCGATGGTTTCTAATAGTGCTTGGTTTAGAGATGTGCCTCAGTAATTAATTAAATGCTCTATAACATTCTGCTACAGTTAACCAACCTGGACCCTTCTGCAGGTTATTCTACAGGTCTAGGATTCATTCTTGCCTGTTGTTGGACAATGAAGCATCAGCAGTATAGTGATAAGGACATCACTCTGCTCAATCCACCTGTATTATTAAAGTGCTGTTATACAGTGGATTGCAGGAGATGGCTATGAAGACAAATGCAGCTACTTTGCCAACAGTTTTTTAAATTTGTTTCATTTTGTATTTTTATATCTGCATGATGTTCAGTTTTAGGTGTACTCATTGCAAACATGTTTGCTGATTCTTACCTTCTAGTGAGGACGGTTATATCAGTAACTTCAAACTTGGTGCATACAAACCCTCAAAATGTGCTTCTTATATTTGCTCTCTCTGGAAGCATTTTGTTATATATTAACTGCAAAAAAAACTTTTCTGACACCAGAGTGTAAAAATGGTTGAGTAGTTTTGTAAACAAAAGACAAAAGGGCGATCTTATCAACTAGTGCATTCTGGCAGAACATAAGGATTCTATATTCTCCCAGTTGTCTTTCAGGACAGCCTATGAGACATCAAGCTCCTTGTACCAGGACAGGAAACACATTGGTAGGTTAAAAGTTAATAGGAGTTCCTCCAGGTGTTCTCCTCAGTTTGTGTTTCCTCCATATGGAGTAAACATGTTGGCTTTTGGAAAGTGGTGAAAAGAGCTTAACCCTAAGGTTGCCCTGTCGCCTTGTGGTTTTACATATTTATCATGGATGCTCTTCCATTACGACGACTCTATATGGGTAGGTGGCAGTCTCATGCCTCTCTTCCAGGGTCTGGGGAAGGCCATGTCCTTTGGTACGGATCCCCCTTGACAGCTGCCACCAGCTGATTTTCCCGGCAGTGGCCTTTAATCTTCTGGTGGCTCTAGGCAGTATTGGAATGTTTGGGGGTAAAGAGGAGGAGCATTCTTCCTCATGGTTGTTGGGGCTGGGATTTCTGGGTTTCAAGCTGTGGACCAGAATACTTGCGGGATCATCTGTTGTAGGGGATGTTTTGCATCCAAAAGGTTGAGGGAGAAGATGGTAGTACCTTACATCTTCACAGCCAGAGTCATCTATTGAAGATGATGATACCCATGACGACTAAAATTCTAGAATATCTAGATATGTGTCTGGCAGATGGTCGACTTCAAGCAATTTGAGACCTTCAGAGTTTTTTTACCAGAAATCCTTGTTGGAGGGGCCTATTGTTTCTATATTTTCCCTAGTTTTTTGGGTTATTAGTCAAGCGCCTGTTGAACCCCTAGCAGAATCTTTTAACAAGTTTCTTTCTCTGAAGACAGTGATTTTTTTTTTTATTGCAATTACATCAGCTTGTCATATTAGTGAGTTTCAAGCTCTTTCTGTGAAGGTGCCTTTTCTTTAAATTTCAAGCTACAAAACGCTCAAGTGTGAATGCAGCCTTAGAGATTGAAGTGGCTCTGGGTGAACAGATAGAGAAAGGAGGAAGCATGATTTAAGTATAATATAAAATGTATTTATTGGAGTGAAAACCAATCGGCAACTTTAACACAGTTAACTGAACTCGCTCATAAATAACCTAGGGCCACTGGTGGTAATCTTCAGCATAGTGGGACACCTTGGTACAAGCGAACACACCAGGTGGGCTGGTGAGTAACCTGTAGAGCCAAGAAGACACACTAGGTGGTGCCATACTAAGTGCAGTAATTTACAGGCAGTATTGGGGTGCATGTAAAGTAGCAACTCATATGGTGCAAAAGAAATGGTGCTTTTTTTTATCCCCACATTCAGCAGCTGGCTCTGGCATGTGGAGAAGGGAGGCTCTACTGTAAAATGTGCAGCCTTGTTGTCCACAAGTAGGGCTGGAAACCAGCTGTGATGGAGGAAGCAGAATCCAAAATAAAGATGGCCGCTGGACTCCTTTGGGATGCAGGGCAGACCGGAAGGGACGTCAGGAGACGGGGCTGTGTGTTTCAAGGCTGCTCAAGGCAACTTGAGTTTGCTTGCCAGGCCCTAACTTACTGATGAGCAATTTTTTTTAGGGTTTGTGTAAGTTGCCAATTGTTTTTCACTCCAATAAGTACATTTTATATTGCACTTAGATCACGCCACTTCCTTATCAAGTTAGACTTATCAGTATCACTATTTCAAGTAGTCTTCCAGGACTGTTGGATTTCCATCCTATATTGTTATGCAGTGTGTGGGTTTATTGTTATTTCCATCCTTTTGGTTCTCTAGTATTCTGAGTGGAAGACCTCCTTTAACCTAGCAACCTGTTTCCTGGGAGAAGCTCTGTCTTAGACTTGCTGGTAATTCCATTTCCAGGACAGCCTATAACTCCAGGTTTCTGTACTTGTGTGGTCTTTAAAAGAATAAAACGCATGAGAAATGTGCATAATTTTATTTTCCATTGACATATGCTCTAGGGAAGTCAGTATGCCAAAAGTATGGGAGGGAATCTGCTTGTTATCATCATATGATTCACTATGAGAAAACTTTACTAGAAAAACAGTCAATCCCATGATCTGTAATTGACATTGCTAGGGTATTCTGAACACTATATAAAATGTCCTAGAGCAGGGGTCTCAACTTTCTAAACAAAGGGCCAATTTACTGTCCTTCAGGTTTTACTGGGGCCAGCCTGTGGTAATTGGGAATAGAAATTGTCCTGGCATCAGAAGGAGTAAAGAATGCATCTTTGGTATTAGGGGGAGGAATAACACCCCATCGTTGGTGTCACTGGGAGGAATAACACTCCATCGTTTGTATCAGTAGTAGGAACAGTGCCCCATTGTTGGTGTTGGCGGAAGGAATAGTTCCCTTTCATTAGTGTCAGTGGGAGCAATATTTCTCTATTGTTGGTATCAGTGGAAGGAATAGTGCTCCATGATTGGTGTCAATAGGAGGTGTAGAGCCCCATCATTGATGACCGTGGGATGAATAGTTTCCTATTGTTGGTCTCAGTGGAAGGAATAGTACCCTTTCATTGGTTTCAGTGGGAGGAATATTGCTCTGTTGGTGTCAGTGGAAGGAATAGTGCTCCATGATTGGTGTCAATGGAAGGAATAGAGCCCCATTGTTGGTGTCCGTGGGAGAAATAGTGTCCTATCATTGGTGTCAGCAGGAGGAATAGTGCCCTATCATTGGTGTCCAGTGGGTGGAATAGAGTTCCATGATTGGTGTCAATGAAAGGAATAGAGCCCCATCATTTTTTGTCAGTGGGAGGAATAGAGCCCCATTGTTGTTGTCCGTGGGAGAAATAGTGTCCTATCATTGGTGTCAGCAGGAGGAATAGTGCCCTATCATTGGTGTCCAGTTGGGTGGAATAGAGTTCCATGATTGGTGTCAATGAAAGGAATAGAGCCCCATCATTTTTTGTCAGTGGGAGGAATAGCACCCCATTATTGGTGTCAGTGGGAGGAAAAGTGCCTCATTGTTGGTGTCAATGAGAGCAATAGTGCCTGGTTGTTGTCAGTAGCAGGAATGATGCCCCATTGTTGATATCAGTGGAAAGAATAGTGTCTTATATCAGCATGAGGAAAAGTGCCCCAGGGGCCAGATAAAAGCAAGCAAAGGGCCGTATTCAGCCCCCGGGCTGCAGTATGAAGACCACTGTCCTAGAGAGACCACGTTTGCAAGAAACCTTTTTAATGTTCTGCCAGGTTGTGTATAGTTTAATGTATTCTTTTGTATGAAACTAAACTTTTGCCTTCAAGGTGTGTAGGGGTTTTTTTTTGGGGGGGGTCATGTAACCCTCCTACAATTTTTTTCCAAAAACAAAGGAAAACAGGATGAAAATATCTAATAGAAGTGGGAGCAGAT